GACAGTTGACAGGTTAGGTGTCCCACAGGTAGTGTAGCTTGCAGATTGAGGCGCACAACAAGCAAGGCAGCCGCACACTGGTCCGATGATCAAAGAGCAAAAGACAAGAAAGGTGAGGCACGCCGAGCCATTTATCTCTCGGCCCTTCAATTAATTCCACATGTGTTTATCGGCCAGGCTGGCACAAGAATCTATCTCACTTCCCCACTCTCCCGTATGAATTGTCCAGCTTTTGCCTGCTTATGAGACAATTGGAAGTGCTAAGGCTTAAAAACTGTCAGCAATAGACATGTCTTATTCTTCTCCATTTAGGATACAGCTTTTCTTCCTTCTTTGCAACAAACCTGCCCTTGCTATGTAGAAGTAGTGTGATCGGCTAATTAGTCAAGCTTCCACTAAAGTTTACTTAGCTTTTATGCATTTTATTTTTTCATTTATTTTCATTGTAAAGTGTAAATGTTTACCTCGGTTTTGCAGGTGTGTTTTCCTTTATCTTATTCAGAGGGGTTGTACATTTTACTTTCAGACTGTGGTGGAATCCAGACAGGCGAGAGTGGAGTGATTACAAGTCCCAATTATCCGGCCTCCTATGACCGCTTGGCCCACTGTTCCTGGTTATTGGAAGCCCCACCAGGCCACACTATCACTGTGAGTCCTACTGATTGATTCAAAATGCTGCTGAGATTACAGAAAACGCAAGCCATTAGAGAAGATGTTGTTGCTGCAGTCAGAAAACAGCAACCTATTGTTTTTTTCTGTAAAATTCTCTCCTTATGATACAGACCTGTATGAGGATGGAGTTGTCTCCTTCGGCCTAGGAGAAGCTCTCCAGAGATGGTAACGCCACAGCCAGGAGAGAGATGGATTCACGTTCTTAACACAATAAGCTCCGTCTTAGCCAAATATCCCATCTCAAAACTTTCAGGAGAATCTTCAACCAGTAAAGAATAAGGGGGAGGAGGAAAGAATTCAATAAGAGACAAAACTGAAAAAGACATATACGGTTTTGAGGAAACAGGACATTTTGTAAGGATAGCAACCTCAAGGTAGATACATTCACTTACAATTCATAATGCCTCATCTTTATTATTTTTTCTCCCCCAGCTTACATTTAGTGACTTTGATATTGAATCCCATGCAACTTGTGCTTGGGACTCGGTCACTGTCAGAAATGGTGGCTCTCCTGGATCACCCATCATAGGACACTACTGCGGACAGTCAAACCCCGGGACAATCCAGTCTGGATCCAATCAACTGGTGGTATCTTTTAACTCAGACTATTCAAAACAACGTGGTGGATTTTATGCTACGTGGGTCACACAAACTTTAGGTAAAAGAAACCGTCTCTGTACTTATCTTTTGACAGTGATCTATTTTAAAATATTTATTCACTAATTCAACAAATATGCACTAAGTACAAACACAGTCTGGCTCAATTCTAGATCTTTATAGCTATCTTCTCCCGTAGCAACCCTGTCTGGAAGACACAATGCCAGTACACATCCCCCCTCCCCATTTTGTATGGGTATAAACTGAGGATAAATGGGTTGGTAATTTTTCCAGGTCACACAGATGATAACTGGTAGAGTCAGAATTTACGTAAAGGCGGGCAAGTCCAGAAACATCCATCTTAACACGTCACGATTCAACCCATAAGCAGAC